TTTCAAGATTCCTATTATGGCAAACGTCAAAGAGCACCGGCCCCCTTCGGCAAGGTAGCAATGGCCTAGCCAAATATTTTACTATTTCAACAACGATATTTGTCTTATCAAATGATGCTCAGGATGAGTTGAAATTCAATCAACTGGTTTCACGCATCCACGACCCATCACCATACCCGCCCTTGCCTGGTTAGTATAGATTCCATCCGAGCCACCTCACCCAAGGCTGGGTCTGTAGAAGCACGAAACCTGAGCTCAATATTCCATGCATTTGTGTACATTGATGCCTGCTGCGGCTGGCCCGCCCGTCTCAGGCTAGAAAGCGGGGATGCTTGGGCAAAAGTCTAGAGGCGTAAACCCAAAGGTGATAGCCCTAAAGAATCACAGGTCCAGACGCGCAATCGGGTTCAATGATTCATGTGATGTGGAATGGTCACTATCACCATCACAGATCGTCCTCCAATAACTCCCAGGTAGTAGCTACCTGGAGATAAATGTCGAACGTTTTTTAAACAGGGGTTGCCAGGAAGGAAAAGGAGAATTTCAATAGACGAGTTACATAGTATGTACTACATGCTGTCATGACCGCCAAGTGAATATGGAGAAAGAAGAGAAAGAATAGGTAAAAGGACAAAGGGTAAGTAGTAGTTTTTTTCCTTCATTTGTGGTAGATAACCAGAGGAGTTAATTATTAGGTTGCCGCATATTGGTGCCGCATACGTGAGGCATCCTAATGAAGGCCCCTGTCCGAAAGGGGAAAAAGAAGAGGAAATTTCTTGGCTTTCGCCCAGCTTCCGCCCAATGATCTCCGAAGCAACTTAACCATCCGCAATCCCAGAAGGAAAAAAATTAAAGAAAAAGGAGATTTAAAAGCAACGAAAACAGTTCCGCGTTGGATTAATCCAACGCTCTTTCATCGTCGATTGCTTATTTCCTATCAGAGCAAGCCACGTCAAGTAAAGGACAAAGAAAGTTGGTGTTTAGCAAGGCCTGGCTTGATTGATATCGAGTTCCCCTGCAGCCACCTGCCTATGGGACGGAACTAACAAACATTCTCCGGACCATAACTAAGCCGCTAGAGCACGCATCACTTTCTGTCTTGGCGGGGCTATTTTTCACCCTGAGGCTGAGACTTTGGTGCCTTTGATTGGAGAAGTGGCAATTTGCCCTAAAGACGTGACATCGGGATTTATACTAGGTGACCACTATCCAGCCATGCATACACTCAAAGCGACGGCCTCTTCCTCGCTTTCCCTTACCCAGGACAACTACATCTACTCCATTGCAGCGTCACACCCAGGCTCATTCGCTGCCATTGCTTCAGATGACTCTCTGCGTGTGTTTGATGCCGCTGGCCTCAGCCATGTGTCCGTGGTTGCTGCTGACGCCCACAAGGGGGTTACGTCTTTGAAATCATATGATGTGGGGCAGCAACTGCTTGCTACTGGTGGAAGAGATGGCAAAGTGAAGCTATGGGATCTGCGAAATGGCAAGAGGTCGGCAGTTGTGGAGGTGGAGACATGTAAGATTCCCTGCTTCCTTTTTCACCACGGTCCTTGTTCTTTCTTCCTTTTTCTTTTCTTATTTTGATTTAATTATTTTTTTCTTATCCTTCACCCCTACCTAGCCTTTTTGGGACCTGGGGACTGCACCGCACTCTCGTTCCAGAAGCACCTTTCTCTCAACAGCAAACATAGATTCTCCGTGATGGGATGTCCAACTATCAAGAGCTTATCGTGCATCCATCAAATTGCACAGTCATAGCTTGCTAATCTTTCGACTCTCCAATAGCAAGACAGGCACCAGTGCTATCCGTAGCCTGCTGTCCGGCGACAAACAGCCTTGTGGCTGGTACTGAACTTGTTTCTTCCCAAGCTGTTGTCGCTTTCTGGTGAGTTCATTTCTGAGAATATGGCTACATATACCATATCCCCTACCCAGCTGTGGCCTCAGCTGGAATCTCCAGTTCGCGAGCTGCTAACTGACGTAACAGGGATGTCAGATCACCCGGTCAATTTCGACTTCAGTATGTCGAAAGCCACAATGACGATGTCACTGAGGTGAGTCCAGTCTTTTACCTCAATTACACTTCCTCCTGGTAGGCCCCGTTTGACGAATCATAGCTCCAATACCACCCGACCCGGAACAATATCCTGTTGTCCGGGAGCACGGACGGCCTAGTCAACGTCTACAACACCGACATCACGGACGAAGACGACGCTCTTGTACAAGTCATCAATCATGGCTCCGTGCATCACGCCGGTTTTTTAAGCGAAAGGACCATCTACGCTCTCAGTCATGATGAGGTTTTCTCGGTTCATCCGGCTACGGATCCGGAAGAGGAGGCGCAAGAGCCCAACCCTGTCCAATTTGGAGACTTGAGACAGCCTCTTAACTGTGAATACATTGCCCAATTATGCATTGGCAGCCAAGGTCCTTATATCGCCGCTGGTCATAAGTTGTGAGTACTTCATCCCTTTCTTTTTGGTGGGGGTTAAGGGGGGTTGGCCAACCTTCTATATCTCTTTGCGCTAATTATATCCAGCGAGCAACGACTGGACTTGGTTCCTCTTACCTCCAATCCATCTTGGCAATTTGACCAGGAAAATTTGTGGCGCCTTCCAGGTGCCCACGGTGAAGAGATTGTGCGCTCTATTTATTTAGACGAACAAGTATGTTACATTCCATTGAACTATCCTGTGGTCTGCCGACAACTAACACTTTGGACCTTAGTCCCAATCCGTATTCACCTGCGGCGAAGACGGCTTCGTTCGCGCATGGAAACCAGACTCTGGAGAGGCGCAGGTAAATGAGTCTTCAAGCAAGCTTTCACGAGCGAAGAAGATTAAGGACAAGGGGAGGTTTAAGCCCTACTAGGTTAGACTTTGGAACTTTACTTCGTCGAGGGATAGAATGAAATTGGTAATCTATGATCTCCTGAGGTATAGCCTACCAAGCAGCCCCTGAACACTCTCCCAGAAGCGCCCGCAGTCAATCTCTGGTCTTTTGCATAGAAAGGAATCTGCTATGGCATGGACAATTCACTTTCCTTGCGGTTTGTGAAGTTTGTTGACCTTATCTTAATCGGAGGCGGTGAACCTATCTCCTAATTCCATGCGTTGTTGCAAAAATAGCCTAGAGTGTTGTCGGGGTTGACATGCACAATAGCCGCTATAACCTTTCCGTTAGAGTAGTCTCTTATTCACCCCACAGGAATACTTGCCTAAGTTAACTACCAACCTTTGTGGTTGACCTTGTGGATTTTTGTTTGCTCCCTTGCACTTATAGGTCACAGTTGGCAAGGCAGGCCCGCCTGCCCCACCAATCATGAGACGTCTACCTTATATTTGCAGGTCTTCACATCACAGACGCCTCGGACGAATCCATTCCACTAGGATGATCAGTTATCACTTTTTATCACAAGTGAGAAATGGTATAACTACAGACTTTGATTCTGGGGTGATCTTGCGTTTCACAGGATCCCACTCGTAACATTTGTTCAAGTGCAGATATGATACCGCCGCTGCCAATTTCTGATTCCAATGGCATTCCCCACTTGAACATGGTCTAAACTCAGGAGTAATAGAGGGCTCTGTCGTTACCTTGAAATTCTCACAGTATGGTATAAAATACGTGTTGGGGATCTTGTTCGACGGTGAAATGTTCGGATTTCGGTTTCGATTGGCTAGAGTCTTGGTCAGCAATTAGAGCTAATAATAGCAAGCGATGATAAATAGAGTCCGGTACATTTCTGTTGTCCCAGAGGCTTCAAATGAGATGAAAAAGGGGTCGAGAACTTTGAAGGCTACCAGGAACTCGCGCTATTTATGTCAATTTCTTCCGAGACATCTAGTGATCAGTCCTATGGTTATAGGAGAGCGAAAGATGGCACAGCGCCTTATGAGGCTTTTAATCTGTATGGAGTGTGTACAGATCTAGCTTTATCTTTCTTTGTAAATGCCTGGCTAGTAGCGAACCTTGCATGCTGCCCGTGAAAATCTTGAAGGGCACGGTATAAAAGAGAGCCGGGCAGTGGGTTCTCTGACCATCCTAGAATCACGGCGGGCCCGGGCCTCGAGTATATATTGTCACCATAGGTCGGGGCAAATTCAATCGTTTTCTCCGAGACGAGACTAAGCTATGAAGTTAGTACATACCGGTGAGTTCGGCGAGGATCAAGCAAGCAAGCACGAGGACCAAGTGCGTGGGCCTGAGGAATGTGAAAAATACATGATCTATAAATTACAGTTTGCTATTTCACCTACATATCAAACTTCGCGGCCTACTGCATTTGCCGTACAGCTGTTTGCTTTATACTCGGTGGGTATCCACTATCCGGTACCCCAGGCTAGCCCTAGGGTATTCACTTACCCATTAAACTACACCACCACCCCCAAATATATAGCATTGCAAGCATTCTCCCTTTACATTATCTTATACTGTAGCAATTGACCTACACTCTCACAGCACCCAACCCAACATAGAGTTACACAGAATAAGGGGTACGCATAGATCACGCATAATATGAGGCAAATATTGCTGCACAGTCCCCAGCTCTGGAAATGCAGCCGAACCACTACTACGACGGGGGACCATGGACCAAGGAATAACAGATGAACTGCAGATGAACCACTAGGACAACGACGATGGTAAAAATCGATCGAAGGAAAGAAAACCCCACTGCTACGTTTTTAAAAATGTCTTCCGTCGCAAAGTGTGGGGCCACTCTCTATATGAAGTGGGTAACATATATTTGAGTACGGAAGCAATCTCCGAGGCTTATGAACTTGTGAATCTGTTAATTATGTTTAAAGCGAACTGGAACCTACGTTGATTTAACGGGTTGAAATTGGACTACTTTGGTCTCAGTTTGCTTTTTGTCTGTATACTCTTAAATAGAAGAAACCGAACCCAGCAAGCACAAATAAAAAATTGCAGGGTATGTGCGAAGTAAATAATAAGGTGGGGGGGAAGAACCAAGAAACAAGAAACAAAAAGAGTAGTCGCGCCCGGGATCGAACCGGGAACCTTCTCGGAACTACCGTAGTAGAAGAAAGCCCACTAATTGTGAACGAGAAATCATAACCATTAGACCACGCGACTGATTGTTGAAGGTATGCTTTAGTTACCAAAATAAGTTGGCTAAAATATATATGGTATTACTTGATCAGAATATCTTATCTCCTGCGGAGGAATTTTTTTTGGACTGGGGTCCGCATTCCCAAGTCGGGTTTACATTTTTTTCAACTCTCTATCTAGTGCTTGTGTTTAATACATCATTTCCCTCTCTCTACTTCCCCTCATTGGGATCAGTATCCCTACATATATAACCGTGATTTTACCATGTCACGATAATCTCTTATCACGCTCTCTCATCTGCGCTTTTAAAAATCAAATGCGCGTATATTCAACACCGAACCTAGAATCACCTAGCCAACCACACACCCGAAACCTCAACCAAAGAAAGCCAACCAAAACGAAAGAATACAAGAAAAAAGATGGACGCCCAAGCCTACCTGATCCGCCACGGCTGGTCCGGCCCCGGCAACCCTTTAAACCCTAATCGCCGACCGGGCACACACGGCGGCCTAGGCCTCACGAAACCGATTCTCATAGCACGCCGCAAGGGCAACCTCGGCGTCGGCAAAGTAACGACCAAAGACCCGACGAATCAGTGGTGGTTGCGCGGATTCGAGGATGCGCTGAAGGACGTCGGCAACGAGAACAAGACCGGTTCAGAGTCGAAACCCAATGCGTTGACTAGCGAGCTCTATCGGCACTTTGTGAGGGGGGAGGTTGTTCCTGGGACGCTTGGGTCGGTCGAAAAAAAGGATAAGGCAAAAGAGAAGGGGCAGGGCTCAGATTTTTCGTCTAAGAAGAGGAAGAAGGATGATGGGGACGGAGTGGAGGACAGGGAGGCGAAGAAGCTGAGAAAAGAGGAGCGGAAGAGAAAGAAGATGGGGTTGGGGGAGGATGGAGAGGAGTCTGCTGTGTTGCGGTCTGGTTCTAAGGATCGGAAGGAGAGTAAGGAGGAGAGACGCCAGCGGAAGGAGGAGTCGAGGAGGAGGAAGGAAGAGAAGGAGATGAAGAAGAAGGAGAAGGAGATGAAAAAGAAGGAGAAGGAGATGAAAAAGGCGAGGAAGGCGGAGGAGACGGAGGACAGTACTGCTACGGATGGGAATGAAAAGCCCTCTTCCCGCAAGGACAAGAAGGACAAAAAGAGACATAGCGTTGAAGAGGACTATCCCACTCCGATATCGATCGACAACGACATGACGGAGTCTAGTGGACGTGAAGAGTCTTCGGGCTCCATAGAAAAGTCGAAGAAGAAGAAAGAGAAAAAGGACAAGAAGGAGAAAGAGAAGGGCAAGGAGAGCAAAAAGAGGAAGAAGACAGAAGAATCCACATCTGACGAGGGGTCAAGATCAAAATCGAAAAAGTCGAAGGATGCCCAAAAGTCGAGCAAAGACTGAACCGATCGATTATATATTCGCATTTGTCAAGGATACCAATTGTTTGCTGATGGCCGTACATAGATAGATACCCATTTGATACAGCTACTGCGGTCCTTACGAAGATCATATTATATATTGCAAACCATCTGAATATGATATCTTTGTTCTTTACCATAATTCGTAACAATTTTAATCTTCGGTGGGCAACTTGCCTGGCTTTCCTGAGAGAATCCATGGTCTCCTCTCCCAGAATTCGTCCTTGATGATGTCGACATGATCGACGACAACCTGTGCCTTTCGGCGCAATTTACGAAGCTTTTCTTGTTGAGACCTCGACGTCTTCGTTTCTTGCATGAAGTCAGATTCTTCTTCTACAGGTTCTCCTGCCCCGGACCCTGATTTTGGCTTGATATCTTCTAATTGATACTGCACGCCGTATTAGCGGACGGACTGTATGGCGGAAGCGCGCCTATCTACTTACCTGACGATAGAGTACGCTTCCCTTCTTGTATATCTCTTCCTCGTCGTTGTAGTTGATCCCGAACCTCTTGAAAAGAATCTCGTTTTTGTCCGATGATACGGTCCCCTGTATGTGAATTCTTTTCATGAGTTTCCATGAAGGGAATAAAGACGAAATGAGTCTCTCACCTTCAATTCTTGTTCAGCATCTGTGTTGCTCATACCACCCTGTTGGACCATAGTCCAGAAAGTTGTATTATAGAGATTATTGATATGGCCTATGGGGTAAGGCTGTGAGTAATATACTTAATTGACGAGTGTGCGGTGGACTTACAGTCTACCTGCCTCCAGCTCATATAGTCACGTAAATTCCTAGAAGTCGGATATACGACGGCTCTCCCATCAAAGGAAGGCAAGTATGGTGGTTGAAGAGGGGCATCCGGGAAGTATGTCCCCCACAGATATATATAATGAGCTGTGAACGTGGATACAATAGTTGTTACAAGCTTGCTGTTATCAACCATATCAACCCATGCCCATTCGGAGACTGGAGAGGACTGCGCAACTTACGCATCGCGCCGTTCAAATAATTGGCAGCTTGGATGGAACACGAAGCTGGGAGAAATCAGTTTCGTCTAATGCAAAGTGCGGCACGAGAGAGACAGACCTGTACTCATCGCTGATACCGTATGCAATGCAAAGATCAGGAAGATCTTTCATGACCTCTACGGCCGCAGCATTCATGAGATCCAACGCGCGGCGGTCATTAGGTTTCTTGAAGTTATAGCGGTCGGTAAGTCTATTGAGATGATCAGAAACGGAGAGTATATGGATGCGACCCAAGAAATAAAGTGATCAATCGTAGGCGCGGTGAAAGAGACGGGAAATAAAAGGGAAAAATGGGTAAACAAATTTGGATATTAACAATGGAAGTAAGATAAAGAAAGAAAAAAAAAAGAAGACCAGAAAGAGGGGGAGAGCTTACTTGTGGAAGCCTCTTCCATCGATGCGGACTACGATCCAGGTATTGGGGAGTAAAATGTCTGGTTGCTCGAAGGCCTTAACATACTCGTACCTGCTCAGATTAGCCATATCGTTGCTTGGAATTAAAGAGGATGCAACTTAGAAAAAAATACTTTGAGTTGGCCATTGCTTCAATTTACTACACGGCCGATCTTGTATGTATAATCTGTGATGGGGAAAGAGGAAAGAAAGGGAAAGCGAACATTGAACGAGTTGTTGGAACGAATCAGTTGTGCGGGAGCTGCTTTTTAACCTAACCGACGACCAACTCCCAAGACCGGGTTGTTGGCAGTGGGCAACACAACACAGTTCACCAACAATAGAATAAGGGATGATCTATGAAAGATGTCTGGAAAATTATCTTGAAATTAAGTGTAGAACCCATGCCAAGGAAATCTCCATCCTTTGGGCGCCGTTCATAATATCACGGCAATTTGGAGCTGATGCTTGATATACGCACGCTGGAATATAGTTCTACGAAACAAGAGTTGATTTTTCTTACGGCAAATTGAGTAAGCTAAATGATCTTGATAGAGATAGAAAGTTATATAATATGGACGATCGAGACAGATATCAATAAGAAACCTAGTACCATGCACGCGCTATCCAAGAAAAGATTACTACCCAATGGTTTATATATAGATAATTTTGCATGACAAAGCCGTGGACACTGCAACGGTCAACCGACGAACGTCTCCGCGGTTGATGGCCCCTACCCTAAGAGTACCAAGGGGGACCGTGAAAGCATCAAGATGTATGGAAATCTTCTGCATGTTCTTCGCCCCCTATTTCGCTGGCCTGTTCGCTGGGTCGTTCACTTGTGTCACTGGGAGCCTTATCCGATTTCTTGGATTTGCGACTAAAAAATCCCAGGCTGCTTCTAGTTGACCTGTCCACAGATGGGGCACTGGAGACAGCGCTGTCCATGCTCTTCGCGAGCTGCGACTCGCCATTCCCGTCTTCGTCAATATCACCCTGAGAAGGATCACCTTTCTTGGAAAACAAGCCTGAGCGGTCCTTCCACGAGCTGAACTTGCTGGAGCTACCCTTCCGCGTGATCTTCCGAATAAATGACTCTTTCGAGCTGCTGTTATCTGCAGATGCTGCGGACGGCACCTGCTCCAAGGACTCATACGAATCTCCGGTGAAGACAGTCAGTGAACGGGAGTAGGATTCCTTGGAGGTACGAGGCTCAGACGGGGATTCCATGAGGAAGTCGAAAGAAGCGTCGTCCCTCGCCCTATCTCCATCACCCCCCTTCTCTGAGCTCTTACTAACAATAGTTTTGAAAGTAGGTGCCGCAGGGTTCAGTTTCGGGGTCACGGGCCGATGCGAAGACGATGGCCTTGTACCAATCGGCGCTTGCAATGGCCGGCCCTGTCTTTCGAAGGAAGAGTCCTGAAGAAAATCAGGCTCCCCCGTGAGGCCCAGAGGCAGATGGCCGGAGGAGCCATACGATGTGGACTGCCGACGTGAGTGGGCTCTTGACCAAGTAGATGGTGAAGCCCAACTAAATCCTAGAGGACTCCTATGGCCCGGCTTTTCCGCCGATGGCCAGCCAAAGTGCTGGTTGTCCGTGGATGGATGCGGAAGCTGATTCTCAAATGAAAATGTCGACGACGGTCTTGGTGACAGTGAGCCCCGTCGGACGGTACCCAGGATTGAAGATGGGTCAATGGGATCGTGTCGAGGACTGAATTGGTTGTACCCAGTGCCGAGATCGGAGTGCTCGCTCGACTTCATCAAGTTGCTTCCACTGCCGAAGCCAAACCTGCTAGGGGAGAAGATACTGGTCAAAGCAGCCCGTCGGGATGGCATATGATCGGAAGAACTATCGGTAGTGACACCCGTGGTATTGCTCCTAGGGAACAATGACATCGGATTGGCCCAGTTTCCTGTATAGCTTAGGCGGCGACGCCTGGCACCAATAGGATCCATTTCGTCGAGATTCCGTGGAAAGGATTGACTTTGCCCCGGCTTTAAAGTGCCTAGTAAAGGTGGTTCATCGGCGAGAGTTTTACCACGAGGGCGATGGAAGCCAAAGAGGCCAGAAAGTCGCCGCGAGGCACTTTTCGGAGCCTCTGCAGCATCCCCTAGGTGTGCGGGCTGAGAATCAGCTTGCTCCTGGATTTGATTTTCATGAGGACTTGCAAAATTGCTTCCAGG